GAAATGTATCTTGAGAAATCATAGAGCTGATGGATTATCTTTGTGTGGTCAACATATCATTTGATTAAATTTTGGACCGTTATATTGCCTTGCTAAAGTATTTGTTCTCAAACCTTTTGTTTTGTTTTTATTAAATTCCAGCCACAACGTTTAGTGTTATTTGTAGGCTAACTTTTCACTATTTCAGCTCAATTTGAATAAGGTTATTGTCCCTAAAGGTAAATTTCTGTACCACTTTGAGATGCTAACAGATTTTCTGCTGGTATCTTTTTTAGCTCTACAAGTCTTCATGAAAACACCAGCTTCTCTGTCCTTGTTGTAGAAAATCGCTCCCACAGCATGATGCCTCCACCACCATGTTTTACATTTCATAATGTGTTCATATTTTAGGGGGGTATTCACTTACAGTGAGAGCTATGCACTACTTTTTCTAATCCAATCACATACAATAACTTTAAAAAATTACGCTTGTTTGTCACGTAACAAAATTTAGTCCCAAACCTATGCAAGGCACTGGATATTTTAAACTGAATCTTTTCTCTGTGGTAAATTTAGTTGAAAAAAGTTTCATTAGCACTGAAATTACTAACAAATCCCAGAGAAATAAAAGTTTCCACTTTTATTTGTTTCAAATTAACAGTCCACTGCAACTGCCCAAGAGGCTGTTTTATCCTTATTCTTCTGATGCAACACATCTGAAGCTTTTCAGCAACTTTCTTATGTTTAAAGTGTTGGGTTTCTTTTTTTTTTTTTTTCTCTAAATATGTTAAAACCATGAGCTTTTCATTGTCATTCATTCACTATTTAAAAGTCAGCATCTAAATAGAAAATGATATATGTCCATGACCATGTTTCATGGTGTTTGTGTTACTTAATACGTTAATTATTTAATTCGTAATCCAATAAATGTTTACTTCTGAATCCTTCTCTCTTTTTCTTTTTACCAAGGAATTGTTTTCCTTAGTCCCTTAATCCTGTGGAGTTACATTTCTCTGAGCTGTGTCAAATTAGCCTGAAGCTTATTTTTACATTAGGATCCCAGTAGGAAGATGTAAAGGCTTGTTGGGCTTTCTCTAGAATTGTTGTAGTTAAAGAGCAAGCATATTTCAACTGAGCTGTAATCAGTCTCTTACTGCTCTTCTCCAGTATGCACAAGAATAATAAAAGAGGCAGCTCCTTTTAAAGTTTTTATGAATTCATGTTTGAGTTTTTTTTCATTCATGCTATAGTGCTCTTTTTACACTTAAAATTTATGCTTGGTGCTGCGCTTTTTTTGTAAGTATAAAACATGAGAATCCTAGGTTTCACTTCTGAATTAATGAAATCCTCTATGTAATCTGAGCAATATTTGTTTAAAAATATTTTAAGTCCCTTTTAATGGCTTTAAGGCATCAGGGGAAATTACCTCTCTGCTGCATAATATCTGCACGTTGAGAAACTCTGCAAACATCATGCATGATTATAAAAGTTCATTGTGGCATTTTTGTCCTTCGATTGCAAGTTTTTGTGCTGAGAGTCATGAGTTGTTCTTGGTGCCAGAGAGCTGAGAGGGGCTCAGCGATTGTTACGCCTCGAGTGGCTCTAATACAAATTTCACAGAGCAGACGGGGAAGGGAGAGAGAGAAAGCAACAAAAAGTGGGAGACACTTGGATTAAGAGAGAGACAAAAGCCCAAGAGGAAGAAAGGGATTGGAACTCTGGGTTCAAAATGAGGGGAGCTGAGAAGTGGAGAAAATAGAGGAAGAATAGGAAGAAGTGAGCGTGAGAGGCTAAGGGACACCATGCTTGAAAATTCTCTCTGATCTTTGAGCCTTGGAACCGGAGGCGATGGAATACCCTGCAGAACTCTATTAAAATTCAACCAGCCTCACTTAAGCCTTCAGTTATTATAGAAGAGAGGCCCTTCACCGCTCAGCTTTCTGTGTTTGGTCTCTGTTGCATGTACTGAGTTAGCACTCACAAAGATGTAAGGAGGTTACTTTTCTGCATGAGCAGGTGAAGTTCTGAAAACAACTACTAAGTGGGGCAACACACCTGTCATTGATGGAATAACTGTGGAACTTTACCCATAGCTTTACAATTACAAATGACAACTGCTGGCTGAATGGCAAAGCAGTATTAGAGCAGAGTTCAGAGCAGCACCAACACTTTAAAGTGCTAAGCATGCTCCTTTATATAGATTTGAAAAGAAAGCCACAACGGGATTGTGATGGCACATAGGGGTGCTGTGAAGCAGTTAAGAGAAACAAAAAGAACAAAAACATAAAACTTCCCTCCCTTCAGGTTCTGCATAGTGAGACAATGCTTTAAAAGAAGGTGTGAGAGAAGGAAGCATTTTGTGTAAACTTGTGTAAACTTTCTTTTGGAGCCATGCACTTTTTTTTTTTTTAGCAATAGGCCTGAATACTTGTTCTATCCCATCTTGGTTCTCTTACTGTTTTCGACATGATCACACCAAAATGAAAAGTATGTGGTTAAAAAAGGTCAAACCAATTGTAGAAGACAGAGGAACAAAGTATAAACAGTAAGGTTATTGTCATTTATTTCATTT